GGTTGCTCCAGATCTATCTGCAAAATTAGGAGATTATGGAACTGGTGTTGAAAAATATCCTGAAGATTATTACATAGTTGGAGATCGTGCTTTGCCTATTAGGTGGTCCGCACCTGAGAGTTTAGACTGTACTGATACTACTATTGAAACTCGTCAAATTACATTACAAGCAAATATATGGAATTATGCTGTACTCTTGTGGGAAATTATTAACTGGGGTAACAGACCTTATGATAATATGTGCGACGAGGAAGTTATACAAATGCTTTTATCTCTTAAAACTGATTTTTCACTAAACAATGTGCAGCCATTGCATAACTGTCCTGAAAATAGTCCTTCCAATATATTACACGTAATACGCACATGTCTAAATACAGATGCAAAAAAGAGGCCTTCTTTAAATGACATAAGACAAAACTTACTTACCGAGCATATAGAACAAGAAGATTTTGAGCAATGGGAAAATTTACAAACGAGTACATCAATCAATCATACACGAAGTGCTAGTTTACAAAATCTTCGTGGCAGTATTGATTCTGATCATTGGACAAATGTAATCAATGAGAAACCATTAGAAACATTACAATCTTCTTTCCGACTTGGACCAGATGAACCGGTTAAAAATGTTATGAAAATGGAAAATTTATTTAATACGACACAAGAATCAGGATCTGAAACTGAAGAAGAAAGTTGGAGGGGAAGAATCGAACGAGGGGTTTATACAGAAAAAGTTAAGCAAAAATCTAAATCAGTAACTGATCTTATGGTACTCGTACATATTGATCCTGAATCAGATGGAGAATTATCTATGGGCACGCAAATGACAGAGAAAACTCTTAAGAAAAGATTATCCACCACTGGCAGTGATAGTGATCTAACACGTACCATGGTTGTGGATGAATTTGATGAAGCATTAAGAAAATTAAGAAATCCTATACAAAGTGATGTTTCTAATAAAACTAAATCAATAAACAATTCAGAAAAGCCAAAACTTTTGACGTTAACTGTGGATCAGGAACAAACACCGATCCTAAGGTTATCTTTGGATTCTAAAGAAGATTCTATTGTTAATAATAATCCTTCTGTTTTAAATACAAGTGCAGACAGTGTACGTAGCGAAGAACATATATTAAGATTATTATCGAAAGGTGATCCGAATCTTCCTCTTCTTCGTTATGTTCCTGATTGCAAGTCTTCTTGTGAAGTTTTGGAGGATAAAAGTGAAACTCAATCTGATAACACTACCATTAATAATGAAAATAACGAATCTTGCTTTTCTAACAACTTCTCATTTCAAAATCTTGATACTAATCAGAATAATTTGGTAGACGTTCTTCTTTGGAATCATGCGCTTGATTCAGCATTGGAACATAAAATACCAGGATTTTCAGATGAAGGTGAATTTAAGGAATTCATAGAACCCGCCATAAATCAAGAGAATAATGCTACTTTGGAACTTTCTATGTCTACTAATGTTGCAGAAGATAGTGAACAATTTGATAAGGAAAATTCTGTCTACAACCTTAATGATTTATCAAATACTGAAGATATAGGAATCGTTCGTAAAGTTCTGATTAATGAATACGAAGAAAGAAAACATTTATCTACTCCTGATGATGAGCAAAGTTCAGATTCTGGTTTTAGAGACAAAGAATCCTGTGAAGAGGAAGAAAGTATGTGTCCACCTTGTGATCAAACGAGTTCTCATGACACATCTGTTACACATGTGCCTACAACCGAAGATGAACAGCTACAGGTTTTATTAGAACTTGATACTATTTTAGATGCAGAATATTACTCAGTACTTCCTGAATCTGATAATTCTGTAGTAACGAATTACACAAACATTAAAGCAGAATATGACAATTCAAACATAACAGATATAGAAGGTCATAATACCAATAGTATTTTATCCAATGAAATTACTACAAATACATATGTAGAACAAGACGAAAAAATTGGCGTTCAATATTTAAATAAGGATGATCTTATGGAAGACGAAGATATAAAACTCACAAGTAATATACAAAATGGTGATTTTATAGCATCTAGTGATTACTATGACGATACAAATAGTTATATAACAAAAAATTCCAAAGAGAGCAACATTTCTTCCCTTGATACAAATATAAGAAATATGCATGAAGGTACAGAAAATTATATACAAGATGAGAATGAACATGAAAATGGACATGAAAATGGACATGAAAATGGACATGAAAATGAGGAGGAGGATAGCTCTACGATGAGCTTGTGTAGCGACAACTCCTATGTATCTTTTGGTATGGAAGAAGAATTTGTCACGGCAATTAGAAACGAGCTTAGAGAAAAACTTCCACGTGCACAGATGCCTATAGTGGAACCGTCCGAACCTCGTGATGAAGAAATTTCTTCTATATCCAGTGATATTGAAAACAAACGTTGGGACGATGATGAGAATGAAGAATCTCCAGATCGAAGCACTAGCAGTGTAGATATTTCTATCAGGTAAATAGAATATTTTGTTATACTAATTATTAAAAATATAATAAAATTTATACATTTACAATATATTTTCTGTTTAGATATAATCTTTATGGAACACCATTAAGTCCTATTTTAGAAGAACGAGAAAGTACTGCTACTTCCGAGTCTTTATTATCAAATTCAAGAGACGCATCCATTGTATCTAAAGAATCAGTACCATCTGAAGATGTATTGTTAGTTGATACTAGAACAAATAAAATGATATTGTTAGAGGGATCAAGAGAAAAGCAATTACAAGATGATGATCATGATACGACTAATGGAGACATTTCTGAAGAAGAAAATGTTGAATATAGTTCATCATCGATGCACACATTCGATGATAAACCTCATGCTATGATCGCTATTGGAGGAGCACCATTACCAAGTCCTGAAGAAGAAACCAAATGGCAACAATTACCTTCTTCTTTTCCGTTACCTTTACCTTTACCTTTACCTTTACAAGATGATTTAATGTCTACAAGTTTTGCTACAGAACGTGATTGGGATAGTCAAGACGACGATGAAGTAGGAGATGAAGAAGGGGAAGATGAGGACAACAGCTCTAGTTCGGGTGAATTTGTTTGGAAGGTATGTACTTTTTTTCTTATTATGTATCTTAATGTAAAAATTGTATAACTTATGTTAATACGATTTGCATTATTACAGAGATACAGTGAGCCACATGCGGAACAATTACAAATCAGAAGTAGTATGAGCAATGAAAAAATAGGAGTAGAACAGAATGACTCAAAAGAAGAGGTTGATGCGGAAGACGAAGAAGAAGAAGAATTCACACCATCTGCTTGGAATGCAACATTAGCACCGCATAGGTCTGCGTTAAGGTCTCCAGATAAAACATTAAAAAGCGGAGTAAGTAATACACATTATCGAAACTACTAACATAAATAAGCGAAAGCCATAGATAATATTTTACACGAAATATTATTCTTCTTTCTTACATCTGCTGCTAGGACGAATTGGTAGGTGTGTCAATCATTTAAACACAGAACAAAGCATGTCTTTTAATCTCCTTCTCGTGACCCTTTCTCTTGCAGATTTAATTTGAGGTATTTAGCGCATATACTTATTTGCTACACATGCTAGTCTTGTACTAAATATAGACGTAATTTAATAACATTTTTCTACAACTTTACCAATAATATAAATTATTTAGGATCAAAAGAAGAGTGTATGGTTCAAGAAACAACGCTATCATTGTGTATATGAGTATCCAAAAGAAACATTAGCTAATGACATCCAAGGTACAGCTACCACTACATGGGAACCAACTTCGTATACAGGTAAATTTTTATTATATATTAAAAAATAAAATATATCAATGTACATAAAAAAAAATGTCAGTATAAAGATATTCAAATATATTTTGATCTATTGGAACAATGTGTAATTTTACAGATTGGGAGGAACTAATGAATGAACCAAGATTAGATATGTATTCTTTGGATTACGAAGATATAAATCGAGCTGGTATGTATAAAATGAATCACCCAAACGATTTTACTTTTACTTAAGAAAAAACTTTTCTTTACAGGTAATGAAGAATTTTATGTGAGTAGTTCAAATCGTCCATTTCAATTTCCAACCAGCGATAGTAAATATGTTAGTCAATTCTTTCCTGGCGCTTGTTCTACATCGTTAAATGTAGAAGAACAAGAGGAAGTAGACTGTAATCAGGAAGAAGAAAATACTAATAGCCAAACAACAAATGAGCATGAACATTTTAAACAATATCAATTAGGAGAATTAAGGCATACAAGAGATCGCCTAAAATTAAATTTATTAGCAGGAAATAATGCAGTAGATACTACTTTCGTTCCTCTAAAACAAGTATATGAAGATAAGGAAGATCTATCAAGAACTGAAAAAACGCATACATTAGATTTGTTGGAAAATATGAAAGTAACAACGGAAGACCAATGTAATATGTCAAATTTGGTAGATGACAATACTTTACCAAAGGTGCCTCAAGAGGATTTTCAATGTGAAGTGGATAATGATCCAGTTACGTCAAAAATGTATCAAAAAAATGACAATGAAAGGAAAATTGAGTCTGCTAAAAATGTAGCGTTCTAACGCTTGACTGAACCAATTTATGGTGCACAATGATATTTTGAGGAAATCAGTTTAATTGAAGTCCGTCCGAAACAATTCATTGTGGAAGTGCAGTGGTAATTGGTGCCGAGGAGATTGATATTATTGCAATATCGATATTTTATGACTGTATATATATATAAAAATTAGTATTAAAATGTAAATGTAACAAAAGTAATGTACAGTATATGCCGATGGGTTTTTAGATTGATTCGGATATAGGATGCTACAAAGACAAAAACAACAGAATTATATGGTTACAAGTAATCATTACTGTGGCTATAAACTTTGCCAAATGATATAGAAAAACTGAAAGTACTGTAATATTTGAGCGGTGGACAGCTCTTTAGCCTTTCATTCATCGAGCAATTTTGTGCCTATTTTATAAGTACTATTTCTATTTATTTCAGTCTTGACACCACAGGCTTTAAATTTTAATAACAAAAATTATAACATTTCAAAATAATGATGATAGTCAAGAAAGGGCTATTCAGTGCTTATGTACAGTATACATAAATCATTTACATACTTAAAAGCGAGTGTTATATAATGAAATTAACATTTAAATTCAAGATTTTGTGCAATAATGATCATGTGTAGTTAACAGATGGCTAAACATAGTTTGTTATTAGAAAGGAATAATAACATTTTGTTAGAATTTATCAATATATGTAGTTGCATGATTGCATACACATGATGTACAAAGAAAAAAATGTGTTATAATATGTTTATAAGGTGCTCTAGCATAATATCAAATATGTTGCACAATCTAAGATTACTGACTTTATCAACAGTACACTTCGTATTTAGCAACAGATTTGTTTATGCTATGACAAAACTATTATAAGTAACTTTGTAATACACATGTAAATATTTATATATTTAGATGATAGTCTGATAGTTGATTAATTCATATAACATAAATCTTGTATTATTTTTATAATACATGATTTATTATTAATCATATTTAATAATACAAATGATGAAAATGTTAAATATATAATTAATCAACTAATAGACGATAATCTTTACCAACAGTAGCAGCAGCCTAATTAAAATTTCGCTACACACTTTACCCAGTCAATCACGATCAATGCTCATTTATCTATTTACTGTATTACTTTTATGTTTTTCTTGATATTATTAATTATAGATAAAAGCATTTCTTATAAGCATCACAGCATTGCAAAAAGAATTCTACCATGACTTAACGCTTATTTTAGCAACGGCAAAATATTATTTGACAAATCAGTTTATACGAAGCAACGTGATAGTGTTAATCTATGTATTGTTAATAGATCTGTGATGAGAACGAGATATATAGTTGTATTTCGATCAATTTTGTAACGAATCTCTGAAAAGTATTGCATAAAATGTAAATTAATAGTAAACTATTTTAGGTGAAAAACATTTTTAAGGGATCTTGTCGTCCTTCGCTTATTTTCTTTTGTATATATAATTACAATGTTTAAAAATAAATTATCTACTACTCTAAGTTTTTCACTGTTTTTCGGTTTAGTTGTACATTTAATCAATGTACATAAATATTTTTGCGATATATCTATATACATATAACTATTAATACTTATTTAACAAGCAATAAATTGCTCATTCTCCTACCAGTGTTTTATATATTATAATATATTAATAATTAAATACAAAAACCAAAATATTAATTGAATAATGACTACAAATGACGTTGATGATTGCGCCATAAAATAATAAGTCCTTGATGATCCGCAGAGGCGAGAAAAGATTCATCATAATTAAATGAAAGAGCAAGTACAGGTCTTGCGTGACCATGAAGTAGATTTACTCTTGCAGCTTTACCATCCTTTGAAGAATCAAAAAGATGAATTGCACCATCTTCTGAACCAGTTGCTATTAAACAAGCTCCCATTTGAGGACAAAACGTAGACTTTATACAATGAAGTCTGTAAATTATACAATAATTAATATGATAATTTTGACTAAAGAAAAAAGCACTTAAGAATAATACCTGTGTTTAATAGGATATTTTTTCAACAATGTCAAAGAGCCCTGATTATCTGCAACGCAATACAATAATACTGCATTGCAAGCAGTACTTGCCAAAAATACTGGCCATGGTATTTCTTTTGAATGCCAAGAACGCCAAGAGAGTCCTGTTACCATACCACTTAATTTCTGTACTCTTTGCAATTTATAAAGTCTTCCTCTCCTAGGCTCGAATTGTAATGAAGTAATGGTACCTCTGTCGCTTCCAGCCCATATCAATGAACCACCACTTTCTTCACAAGTTAATGATAAAACCTTAAATAAAAATAATTAAAAAATACATAAACATTTAAATAATTCAAGAAAAAGGTTACAATAATATACCTTTTCCCCGAGTTTGCATGAACCACCACGCGTATAGATTCCTGTTGATACATTTAAAATTTGAATGAGCCCGTGTGAATTACCCGTTACTACTAAATTATTATTAGCTGGTATAAACGCACAACAAAAGATTTCTGCATTTTGTGGATCTTTAACCACTCGTAAACACTTAGGTTCTATTTGTACTTTCCAAAGACGAATAGTAGTATCTAATGAAGATGATACTATCAAATCATTACTGATACTCCAATCGAAGGCTGTAACTCCTTTCTGATGACCTTCAAGTACAACTAGTACTTGCGGTGGTGTATTAATAACTTCACATATAGATAGAGTTCCATCTAAAGATGCACAACCTAATCTGGACCTATCGTTATTGGCAAATTTAAGCATTATCACAGCTGCAGTATGTTGATCAAAAACATGATGAACACCAGTAAAAGCAAAATTCTCTGCAGTTGATTTTTTTGGAACGAAATGGGATTTTGGTAGATTATCTGACGTTTCCTCTTGTAAAGTATTATTTGCAATATTAGTTTGTTCAATATTCTCTCCGTATCGTTTGTTTAATAAATCTAAACGTAATTTTAAATATTGTGTACGAATATCGTGTTCTTTAAATGGTTTTTCTCTCAATAACTGATTTCTTCTACGAATATAAAGCATACCTATAATTTATAAAAAAAGAAACATTATGATACGTTAACTTAAATTATCTATTCAAAATAATAGATAATACCCACCTAATGTTGGTAATTTACTTGCACGTTGTGCATTGTATTTGGCATCTAGGGCAAGCACTTGTTGATGCCACGTACTATACATTTTGTTTGTTGGAATAAAATGTTTATAAACTGCTTGTATTTCAGTCATCAGAACATATTAACGTGGAAGACTAATGTGTAATAATGACGTTTCCTAATGACATTTGATTACGCACTTACTCAATCAAAAATTTCGCCATTGAGGTTATATATTATGCCATTGATTTATATTTGTATTCAACTTTCTTAAAATTATAAGTCAAACGTAAACATTTATTAAAGGCCATAAGAACGACTTTAGAAACAACTTTTCTAAGAATTATTAATTACAAACAATACTAAACTTTTAAATCTAATCAAATGTTTTGACATATTGGAATGTTTACCATTTGTTTTCGACCATCTTCAATTACCTGCATACAGGTAATTATAGCAATGGCGGACTTTATCAAAAAATTGCAAATATTCTTTTTATAATTTATTTTATAATATAAATTATTGTTATATATAAAATGAATCATAAAATGATTAGTTTTTAATCGTTCGATTTAATTCACTATAATAATTATCAATANTTAATTGTTTAAAGAATTGCATGATAATTACAGAATCCAGTACTTTGTTGCCAATTGAATTGGGTAATGTATGTGAAATATATATATATATATATTTCACATACATTACCCAATTCAATTGGCAACAAAGTACTGGATTCTGTAATTATCATGCAATTCTTTAAACAATTAAAAAAAAAACCATGTAAAAAAATAATTTATAATTATTATACGTGTAGTAAATATGTAATAACATACATAACTAATTTATTATCAAGTTTAAAATGAAGACATTTCGATGATCCTAACATTAAACGATCCCCCATTTGTTTGTATAATTAATTTTAGAAAATTATAAAACAAAAGGAAAGAAAAAAAAAGAAAATATTTATGTGTATATATTAATAAGATTGACTCTAAAAAAGAAAATTGAAACATTTGTTTGGGGATCTTATAAAAGAGACAAACATTATAGACAATATATTGCAACAGTCCGTTATAGCTTTTATTCTTGACTGCTGCGAAACATGGTCATTTATATTATATCCTTTTAATTGCATTATCGAATAATAACAGGAATAATAGTTTACACAAAGGTGTACTGTTTCAATTACTATTATTTAAAGGATAAATATATTAATATGCTCACAGAATTTTACAAGTTCTCGATTAGTGAGGCTATTAATAATCCGATGCCTTTATGGGTGTGTTCCTTAATATATTTATAAATCGTAAAGAATGCACAAAATACTACGTCGTACTTAGTACTGATAAAATTATAAAGTTCAAAATGTCTTCCAAGCACAGCAGGTACTTGAATTACAAGATTTCTTTAATACATTTATTCTTATATATTCATATTTATACACAGTAGTAGCTATTATTATTATTTGTAATAATTATATAATAGTTAGCAATAGTGGCGTAATGCATTTTGCATTCTCGATCGATCGGTTAATATTTGACAAAAATACAAAAATTATGAATTGTATAATAATTATTACGAGAACAAACGTGCTTACTCTGAAGTTTATCCTTCTTTTATTTATTTATTTATTTATTATTTATTTATTTATTTTTTTTTTTAATGTTTTTTGTTCTTTTATTTTTTTTTATATATATGTTTAATCGCTTTTAATGGTTTCTTTTTCTTCTTTTCATCTCTTCCATAACAATATTCCATCTTCTTTCTTTTTTTCTTCTTATTTTTTTTCATTATACATCACATTTATTGTATTTCATCCTAAGTTCATCGTGTGTACAGTAAAGAAAAAAAAAAAAAATATAGAGAAAAAAAGGCAAAATATGTTCGAAATAACTAAAGCCTATACTAGATTGTAAGATAAAACAAGAACATAAACATTTTTTTTCCGCATTTTCTTCGCAACTGCAAATGCTCTTCTTCTCTGTGTGTCTCTTTGTTTTATTCGTTGAATAATATACAACGAACAACGAACACGTTATAATCAACGGCCCCTTATTAAAGTTCTTATTAAAGTGTACCTACAACCAGTGGCATTGCTGTTTATATTTGTTTCTTATTAGCATTTATTCGTAGATGATTCTCGTTAAAATTGAATCGTCTTATTTTTATCTTCCTGTTTCTCTTCTTTTCGTTTTGTTTATAATTCTTCCAAAATTTGTCAGTAGAAATAGTATATTTTTGGGAGCAAAGGAAGCTATCCTACATTTGGTCTTCCAATATTCCCTCAAACATATCCTATACTCATACCGCTTATGTGTGTACCGTTTGAGACGGCTAACGAGAGAGGGAAAGAGAAAGAGAGAGAAAGGGAAAGGGAGAGAAAGAGAAAAAGAGTTTACTTACAACTATTTGTTTCTCGTTTATGTCAGCCGTACTTAATAAAGCTTTGACAACCGTTATCTTATCTTTCTTTCTTTTTTCTTTGTCTATTTTTTTGTCGTCTTCTTCTTCTTCTTGTTAATAATAAAAGAGAGAATTGATATCTCATTTATGATACATGATAACCCACGCATAAATCGTAAAAATTCTCACAGCATCACACGGATCGTTTTCTACATGCATATTTAGCATCGTTCGTTTTAATCGGAAGAATATTGGCAATGATTTACTATTAATAATGCAAAGATGTAAACTATAACTTTCTAAAGCGTGCATTGGTCACCATTAATAACTTTATCTCTTTCAAATTTCCCTCCTTTTAAAGATCCCCGATCACGTGATATTTCTTTAAAAGGCGCGTTATATCGAAAATGGTTATGGATAACCTTTGAACAAATACATGACCTGACGCTTTTAATTCTTTTTCTTCTTCTTCTTCATCATCATCATTTTTATTTTTATTCGTATCAAATAGATAGACGGGCTGAGATTGGATATTATGACACTAAAAATTACATTGAAGTATTATCTAGTTTGGTTTGTCGGTGAACACACGACTAATTATCATAGATCGTTATCAGGTGAATTATCAGGATTAATTACCATGGATAATTAATCATCAGGTGATTCTAGGTATATCGTATATTAAATATCTAGAATTGCATAGACGTGCTTCCTTCTTATCAATTTGAAATGCAAAAATTGCTTTTTATTTTACTTATCCAATAATATTATATATACAAGGTTGGGACAAAAAAAGATTAGATATTTGAAGGGCTTATAGTATTCACCGAGATGAGTAGTCTAATTAATATGGGGTCCCAAAATCAACCCTTTCGATGTAATTAAACTTTTACTATTTATGAGCGTTCGATATGGTAAGCGAACATAGGCAATGTAGAATATTGTAGGACCCAAATTAATTAAACATTTTTTACTCGTCTTGGTAAGTACTATAAACCATTCAAATATCTAATTCTTTTTTGTTGACTATCCTGTATATATATCAGATCTACAATGAATTAAAAATCAATACATTTTCTTATCTTTTGTCCAATAAACGATCTTTCACAATTTTCACAATGGGCTATTAATGATTTCGAGTTCATATGCTTCGCAATATAAATACACGCGTGATAAGAAATTGTATAAATTATCTTTCCTACAATTAAAGAACTCTAAGTCAATATTTCTATTAATATCTTTATAAAATAAATCATTTTTGTGTGCATTTTTTATTTTTATTTTTATATGCTGCAGAAAATTTTGACGAATGTTTATAATAATAACAATAATACTAATAATAATTAAAAATACTAATAATAATAATAGTATGTAAATAAAGAATTTTGTATGTTACATATTAAATTTTTGTTGTTGTTACTTGCGGATAATAAGTTATGAAAAAGCAGAATAACGATTGAAATAATTTTCATGTTAATCGTTGCATTTTTTAAAGGGATATAAATAATATTATTGTGAAAAATTGTAATTCATTTTCTAAAAAATAATCTTAATAGAGACTTTACGATCAGAAGGAAGCAGGGCTACATTTTGAACTGATCGAAGATACGATAAGAAATTTGTTGATACCTCCTAATATCCCTTGATATTTCTACACGTATACCTAAAATTTCTTAATTTGACTTTTTTCTCTATAAATAATATAAAATCATTTTATACATACAATATAATTTCAGATAATATAATCATAAGACATTACCTTTTTGATTCGGGAACTTTAATTCAATACCGTCTAACAAAAAGTAATATTTACCTATTAAAATCACTCGAATTATTATAGTGATGCAAAAGAACAGAATACTTTTTATATAGGTACAAATAATGTTGATCTGATTTAATCCCTGCTTATATTTCATGTACCAAAAAGTGAAAATATTATAATCATAAATGTTTATGTACTTCAAATTTTCTTGATACATACAAACACTATAATTTACAGAAACACATCTTTACATTATTTCATGAAAGGTTACTTTGTTCTTATTTCTTTTTTTTTTCCATTCGTGTAAAGGAGCACGTTTGATGTTAGCCAAAATGCCTACATTTTACAAAAAATTATCACTTTTTGCAGTCGATGCGGTATATTCGCAATTGCACTGTAGTGTACTGAAGCATATACAGGAGCTGATACAGCAGCCGTTAGCTTATCTGGTTTTTTCTTTTTCTTTCACACAAGCGCTACGTTATTCACACACTCAGTAGTAGGTTTACTAGCGTTCCGATAAACCACACGAAGCCTGCTCGCGCTGTTTTTATCCTGCGTTCGTGATAAAGACAAATATCTCGAAATTATCACTTACGCAACCAGTCTATTTTTGGCACGAGTGCAACTTCTGTTAGGAAGAATTATACAATTCATTGCTTTTATAATAAACATTGTTTACAAATAATTCAAAAACATTCAACATATTAATATATGTTTGTTAAGCATAAGATATACTAGTAGACAAAACAAAAACTTCCCTCTTTTGTAGTTCTGTTCATTAAATGAAACTCAAAATCAAAATTATTTATAACAATCTAATCATTGTTAATATTTGGAACGTCACAATTTTGAAAAAATGAAGAATTTAAATTAATATTTTATTATTTCATTTTTAAAGAAATCATTTTTTAAGGGAAGTTTACTTTGAATATTCATTTCAGAAATATAAATATTTCTTATAAGAGTAACAATAAATATTGTTTAATCCTTCCAACGATTAAGACCCACTCTTTAGTCCATACTGTTTTATAGCCAAAATGTATAATCTGAAGAAAAAAACAAATCTTTTGTCCTTATTCTCATGTTCCAAGTAAACCCTTTTTATCAATGTCCGTGTTTTACACCACCATATGTCACATGGCGAATGTTTATTTTTTCTAAAGTGGTTGTTACATCGCTCCTTCCTTCTTTATCTTGTTCAAGATACTTTAATTGCTTCCAGCCCAGTAGCTAGGACTGTAACCAGGCTTAGCTTGAGCTTTATTTTGTGAACTGGTATTGGACCTTTGACCTGTGCTATTGGTACCATCCTGATGAAGTGGTTGATGCAACTGATGAGGCATCGTTGGAATAAATAAATGCGGAGTACCATATCCTCCAGGCAATCCTGCATTTTGGCTACCAGTAATACCAAATGGTGGTGGAGTCGCAGAATGAAAAGCTTGTTTTTCATATGACTGTAATTTGTTGTGAATTGTTGTTATTCAATGAAATATCTTTATAATATCAGATCAATATTACATTACACATTATATATACATACGACACACACACAACACACAACAGCAACAAAGACTTAACCCTCTATGGGCCTGTGTAACTTTGTGTGAAGTCACATACCAATAAGTTAATATTATTTGTTAATCCAATCTGGCACACATAATATTTTATAATCTTTTTTTTTGTAATCAATAAAAAAGTGTTTATAGAGATTATTAATTTCAACTTGAAATATAGTAGTAAACTTAATATTCTTGAAAATTGTTAATTCATTGTTAATTTGTATTTAGAGATTAATATTTGTTTATAATATAATATAATTTAATATATTATATAATAAAGTTATATAAATTTTGTTGAAATCACGGAAAAAATATCAGCCCATAATAGACGGTTAACTTTTGAATATTAATTATTTCAAAATTAACAATCAATATTATTACTTACATTAACTTTGCTAAGTGCTACATGACTTTTTGCATACATAGTTGCACTAATGTCAGTCGCAGAAGATCCACCAGTATTAGTATTTCCTGTAGAAGTACCAGTTTTACCGGCTTGTGTGCCAGTATAATTACTGCCGGCAGCTTTATATTCTCCGGACGGTCCCGCAGATGCTAAAGCATCGTAACTTGCACCACCACCATACCCAGATCCATAACTTCCTGGTTTAGCGCTGTATGCTCCGCTATTTGTTCCAGCATTCCCTGCTGTAGCTATCTGCTATGGTAAATTATATTAATAATATTTTAAATAAAATCAACTATATAATATAAATCATTCAAAGAATCTTACGGGGTAAATAGCAGGAGTTCCATATTGAAAACCTCCTGGCATTATGCCTCCGCCATATGTGAAATATGCATAACCTGGAGGAAGTGTTGGGTTCATCATAGGTTGTTGGTGCTGTGTCGCAGTCTGCAAATATTATAAGTATATAAGTATCTCCTTAATATGTTCGAAGATACATATTCATTAATAAAATTATCACAATTAAATCAAGCTGTTGCAAAAATACTATTAAATACGCTAAATAAATTAATTAGATACTTAAATCTTACCTGTTGCGACATGGTAGAAGGTACCGGCGACGCATTACTATCATTTCTGGCAAACCTAGCGTCACTAATACTGGTATATGCTCCTTGAACGCCTTGTACTCCTTGAACTCCTTGCACACCAGATAACGCATCACCTCGTGCCCCACCAAGACTGGTTGCTGGTCCAGTCGTCTGATAGCCCAGAGCCGCGTCATAGTAACCAGTAGTGGGCTGCAGGTTAGTCAGGGAGGCCAAACACAAAACTACATGCATACACTGTGTACTTCAAATACAAGGACGCTAACTAAGTTCTAAGATCTACATGTACTGGAAAAGGATGGACAATATACGGTAAATTGTAACCATGCTTCATAGTTAAATTTTCTTAGATAAGTATTTTTTGTCATGATTAAATAAAATACTTAATCGTAACTATGAAACAAAGTATAACGTCCACTTGCTGGGATTATGATGTTTATTTTCATTCAGTTTGAAATACATGACATCAGATACTGAGCAAATGAAAAAGAAAGATAATTAAGCTATGCCATGTCTGCGATCAAGATCACTTATTTTTTTCTTTTAAATATAACTATGCTCTCAATGTATCATTTTCCACTTATACCTATTTCAATTGATCGTAGACTTTCTTAAATTTGCTACCGAATAATAATTTAAAGGAATAGAGATGACCTTAATAAATTAATGCTTGTCTTATATGCGAAATGCTCTTTTAGAATAGGATATTAAATTTTAAAATTTTTAAATTCAACACTAAGAATTTCATCAATGAAGTGATTGAATTGCGAGCAACTACCAAGCATTTAAAAAATGATTAAGATGGCATTCTGTAAATAAAGTAAAGAGTGATAACATTATATAGAACAATGTGATTCAGAGCACCCTAATTTAAAATTGTCATAATGCATGTGTCAATACTGTCTTCTTTCAATAATGATTCATAACTCATGTTGGTGAAGATAAAAACTGACAAAAGGAATGTGTGCTGCATCAATATATATACATTACTCTAAAAAAGCAATTCAATTCATTCAAGTAAAGAAGACGTTTAGCTGTATAGGAAACATATACTTGAATGAATTATATGAATGTTGGATATAAGGCAACATTATAAATCAGGCAACAACTGACCATATGCGGTATTCTTTGTTGCATAAGTTGTAGATCTTCGTAGCTATACATTGGTTGCTGGAAAGTATATGGCACTCCTTGGCCCATAATGTACTGATGACTAAGCATTGGTGCCATGCTGCCTGCAGCTCCTCCACCTGTTATATTACCACTACTATTACCCGTTACAACGCCACTTGATGTACTTTTTGGTACAGCTGACAAAAAAACATTCGTTTATAAACAATTATATATTGTCAAATTAATAAATTGTACAAAACTTATTATAGCTTACCATTGGAACTGGTTACTTTTGTTTGAGAACTATTCACAGAGGTTGAACTAAGTCCTAATGTGGTTGTCGTCGTTGTTGCAAGAGAATTATTAGAAGTCGTTGTGCTATTTTCATATTGAGAATCCTTTGTTGTACTACTATTCAATTTGTGGTTGTGAGATGCAGTTTGTGGTTGACTGGCATAGTTGCCATATGGATAAACCTGCAAATATTAATTTTAAAATTATCTATTTATAAGTTCATCAACTTATAAACTTAAACCGTAAGTTTGGAAGAAACATAAAACTTACAGATTGAGCTGCATTTTGATAAGGTCCGGCAGCCTGAGTAATAGGAGAACTAAAGGTAGTAGCAGATGATTGATAAGCTTGAGGATTTGATTGAAAAGAAGAGGTTCCTTGATATCCACTCGCTTGATATCCAGCATTACTATTTGATACCGTATTAGTTGCGACAGATGCTGCTTGATATTGAGACGTTGTTGTGGATGCATAACCACTTGTTGTTTGATATACCTAAGAAAATAAATATATTAGAATAGTAAATAATATAAGAATATATAAAAATATGTTACATCTATATTTAAGCTACCTGGTTTGTAGTAGTTGGCTGATTGTAAGCAGAAACTGCAGATGTTGACGCAGATGGAGATGCTTGACTAAAGTTTGAAGAATTTGATTGTGGGAATGATGAAGAGGAATTATAATTGGTTTGTGAAACTGTCGCTGTTGTAGAATATGTATTGGCATTAGTGACTGAAACAGTCTGGAAAGACTGTCCTGATTGTGTATTTGTTGAATACGTATTATATGAATTTGGTGTGGCATTAGATGGTTGAAACGTCTTTTGTGGTTGATACGTCGCTGTGCCATACGTAGCTGAATTTCCTGGGGAAACTTGTGATGTAAAATCCTGTTTGGTTATATCCAAATTTTGAGCTGTATTTCCACGCCCCGCAAACGTTTGAGAATTTATTGAATGGTCATTAGATACAGGTAAACTGTCATTGCCTGATAGCTGAAAAAAAAATAAGACATACAATTAAAATGTTAATTAATTATACAGATATATAAAATGTATAAATTCAAAAATTTAATAATATATAATTATAATTTACCATTTGAGTAGTGGCGTTGTAAGGGGTTGTGGAGGTTTGTTTGGTTTCTATATCAATAGAACTATTTGTGCCAGTTGTGTTTATAGTATTTGTAGTAGAGGGAACTTCAACATTAGAAATTGCATTGTTATTAGAATTATACTTTTCAGTAGCTGATCCATCGAGTGAGCTTGAATCACTTCCAAATTCAAGTGCGCCAAATTGGACATCAAGAAATCCAATGCCACTGTTAACTGCATCGCCCGGCATTTCTACCGCAGTGGATGGAATCTTCGATGGAGGTGGTACTCTTGGACGTTGTTTAGATTGCCTTTGTGGCTATGATATTAAAAAATATTATGAACTTGTTAATATATTTTATATAAGGTGAAAGAATAGTTGATTAATGTATCAATTAAGTACCTGATTTGTAATTTGCGAAGAAAACGAAGCCTGTCCGGCTGTTTTTATATTTTCACTAGTTTGCTGAGTTAGCTGCGTCAAATATTGAGTTTGTGCAGCAGTTAATACACCACCACTAATAGCATTTGGTTGTTGTGATAGTTGCATTGTTGGTAAGCTCAATACAGTTTGTTGCTGTTGAGCTTGTTGTGGAATCAATGCTTGTTGTTGTATCGCAGGAATATCGGATAATTTCGTAATTTCCTTATAAATAATGAATTAAATAGCATTATTATATATATCAAACAATATTGAAAAGTTATCTATATTAAATGTAATAACCCATCACAAAATTACTTACTTCTTGCTGAAGTAGTCCCAGGTTAACAGTCTGATTTGATTGTATTGACTGTAATTCTTGAATCTTTGGTTCCTCGTGTACAGGAGCTTGTTCTGTCAAAGACGTACTTGGTGTAAAAACCTTAGTATCGGCCAGTGATCCTGTATACTCTTCATTATCCCAGTCCTCTGTTGTCTCGTAATTATTCCACTCTGCTATAAGATATTTAACATTGATAATGCTTAAATCTGATTTCAATTACAGAAAAATATATTATACTTACCAATTTTAGGTTGTTGAACTAATGTTTGTTGTTCTTCACTTCCTGCCCAGGTGTCAATTGGTCGACTGAAACTATGAGTCGAAGAAGCAGAGGCTGAATCGTTTCGATTCGCAAATGCTCGTGGACCAAGACCTCTTCCGCCTCCGCGACCTCCACGACCTGATCTACCAGGGCCTCCCCTACCTCTTCTACTTCCTCCATAGCTGCCATCTCGAGCACTCTCTTCCATATTTCTCTCATTTTCCTTATTTTCACGTCCACGCCCTAAACATTATTCAAAATTGCTTAACATATTTCTTATTCCTGCTTTAAAAATTAAACTATTTAATTTCGAACGTAAAGGAAATAGTAATTCTATTTATGTTCTTTGTTTAATAATTACATTCACGATTATCATGATTAGCACGGCCTCGCATTCGCGGTGGTCCACCACTTCGTTGGTTACGTCTCTCATCCCAATCTCCGCCATCATTTTGACCACTTGTTTGATCAATCATCTGTTTTGACCCACTTGGTTGACGAGGCTTCTTTTTTTTTACTTCCCATTCCGTCTTAACACCCTCGAGAAGGTCAATAGCAGCTCTATTCAGGTCTCCATCACTATCATGCAAGGCCATAATGACCTCATCTTCAGAACGACAAGTTAAATCCATAACTTCTTTGATACGTTCCTTAAATGATGGATCTTCAACACCTCCCAAACGAGTATCAATGATTTGTGCATGTCGCACCTGAGCAGTGTTTGACTAAAAATAAAAAGGAAGGAATCCCATGGTACTTAAAACAAAATTCTTAATGAATCTAAGAACTGTTTAATTTAATCAATGTTTTTATATTAATCAGTTAAATATATCTAATAATGATCATTATTATCATCTTTTTATTATATTTAACTGATATATAATTTTGTAAGTATATATATAATACATTTAATTCTTTTTCTCTTTGTTTGTTTTATTGTTATTATTATTATTATTATTATTAATAATATTATTATTTGTCCCTTCTAAACCCATAATACCTTCGTATATGAAAATAAAAACATTGATACAAGCCAATCATTTTCAACGCCAGAACAATAATATATTTAATTACAAACCTGCACTTTGTCGTGCTTAGTCGAATCTGATGTTTTAGTTTGATGGTCTGATTTACCATGTTGTGATAATTTTATTTTATTTCCTCTTCCGCTGGAGGACACTGATGTTTTATTATTTGAACTCATCGCCAAATATAGCTCCACGCACTATTTTTCACTCACCTGTTACTCTATATACACTCTCTATTTACAAACTGTAACAAAAAAGAACAATATATAAAATATTTGTACAAAAAAGATAAGGTACTATACAGTATATTACACATATGTTATAAATTATTATTTAAAAGAAAGACCCTCTTTAATATTATTAAATTAATGATAATAGATCCTATCTAATGATATAGATCCTTACAAACGTTTTCAGAAATTACAACAATATCCAGTTGAAATGTATACAATGATTAATGCATCATGATACCCAGAAATAAATGAAGTAAACAAGTAAATAAACAAAAAAAATGTTTTTAAATGAATAAACAAAGTAAAATAAAATACAATATTTATATAAGATATAGAATAATTATTTTTTTAAATTATAATTAAATGAGTGAAAAGTTATTAACTAAATATATCAAATGAATAATAATTCTATCATAAGATATAATTAGTGTTAATTTCCAATTTCAACTACAATTATTATAGGTATACAAATCTAAATGTATACACACACATAAATTATAAATTAATCTCATGAATTATAAATAAAAAGAATACCTAGCTTAACATTTAAACAAAGGTATATACACAATGGAATAAAACAAATATATCAAAACAGAACTTGCTTAGCATGCTACAGTTTAAAAAATATAAATTGTAAATTGGCTAAAAGAACTTTTGTACTTTTAGGTATCATTAACCAATTAAGAGTGAAAATAGTCTAAACTTGAAGAATCGCTTTCACTAAAAGAATTTTTATGTAGCCACGTGGGATAAGATTAGAGATGTTAGCATAATAATGATCTGCGATAAGTTAATGCATGAAATGCTTTAACCATAGAAGGTTAGGACAGCCGAGTAATATTCATTTAGGAACATAAATCTAAAAAATTCAAATATTATATAATCAAGGAATAAAATTTGAAGAAGAAACAATGGGACGATCAAAGTGTGCGTCCAAATAGCCAATAACACGATCATATTGTAGGAATACTCTTGATTCTTCTTCAAGAAGAATAAGGTAGCATTTTTTAGAAAATTCGAACGATACTCTAAGGGGCACGAAAATTTCAAGTAATATTACAAAAAAAAAACATAGATTTATTATCGATTTGCGGAATAATACCAGAAGACAAATAATTTAACATAAGCGATGATAATGCGAGAACGATTACGAGGAATATCACAAAAGACATCCGTCTGGTAGATCCTCGATTTGGGGACAGCAGCTTGTGGAAGAACTCTCACTCAATACTGTAGTAGAGACGAGCACAAACGTTTTCATAAAGACTGTAAATTCCGTAACGGTGAGAACGTAGTCATACGCTTTTAGTAGACCATGTGCACGCGAGACGCCATTTCTGGATCTGCGAGGAGGCTTGTCAACCATCGTCGCATCGAAGCATCGATGGTTAGCCCGTAAGAAGGTTCAGTTTAAATATTTGCGTTTAACTCACGGTTATCACGAAGGTCGTTCGCGTCCTTGGGAGCGCATGCAAATGCAGAAATAAGATGAATTCACGACGCCTCGGCTTTTTCGGCCGTGGCGCGCGAAAAAACACGAAAAAAACAACGAATTCACTCGTACCTGGTTAGTGCGCTCAAAACGCAGCTTAGTCACGTGACCGCGTTTTCCCCCTCTTATGATGAACAGCACCACCTTTGCCTAGGAGGTTTCGTATAACAGAGCATGCCTGACCAATTTCGACTAGAATGATTATGTTTACTAACTTACGCTTTCTAAATGTTCCTATATCTTTTAATCTTTCTTTTTTTTTTTTTTTTTATATCCAATCGTTCTCTCAATCATCCAATAATAACATTCGACGTCGAGGAATCTAGTGAAATATTCTTTTTTCATAGTCAAATTGATTTTGAAAAATATACATTAAGAAAAATTCATTTATTTCTTAAAAACGCGATTTCCCGTTTCTCCATTTTTTCTCTCTCCAGTTTTGTTAGTATTTTTCAATATATTTTATATGTTACTAGCACTGAAAAAATTGACCAATCAACAGGTGTTTTGGAAATTCGTCCAATCAAATTAATTCTATATAAATCTCTATTTCTCATTTGTCTAAATATCTCCTAGACTATAAATAAGGTCAGTCACCTTATTATTACCACTATTATAAAATTGATTCAATATTTCTTCGCTTTTAGTTAGAATGGAAAATTAAAAGAGCAAAATGTTTTATTTGAAACCTGCCTGAAAGTGCATTCTGTTTATTGCATCTAGCGCATTGACACGTTTTCACCGATGGTAATGTTACGTTTCATGAATGTGTAGTCTGATGTGCTTAATGTTCCGTCATGAAACTGAGCAGATTTGACGTAGAAAATAATATGATCTTGATTTCTAATTTAACAGATGTCGTTGACTATTTAATCAAGAACAATAGTTATAAATAATAATAGTAATATAATTGGTGCATATTAGAACAACAATATTAGAAAAAAATGCATAACACTTTAAATGATACTTCTGAACGAAGATTTGAAATACAATGCAAATTGGAATCAGAAATTGCCACTTTAAAAGCATTGAAAGAAGCAGAAAAACGAAGTAGAAAATTAACAAATGGTGTTCTTAGGATACTTTTCTCTTTGGAACAACGTTTGGCTACTTTACGACGTACCATTCTTCCTGTTTATAATGAAACTGAAAATTTACAGTCACAACAACATAGTACGTGTACGATTTGAAATAATTAAATATAATAGATATTTGTACCTTTTATTATTATCGGCTACTGCCTAATGTTTATATTTATATTTATTATAGATATTGAAAAAACACTTTGCATATTGGATCATGCTATAGGCTATTATGGTGTATGTCAAGAAGTAGAAAAGTCAATACGTAATGGACCTAGTAGTTCTGCAGGTTTAAACAATTTTCTTGATGCTATGAATCGTTTGTACAATGCTCAACGATATTTTCAAAAAAATAATCCAAGTTCTGTGGAATTAGAAAATGTTACAAGTTTATTCGCCATTGGATTAGAATCTTTATACACAGAATTTAATGATATTTTGACCAGACAAAGTAAACCCATTTTACCAATTGTTCTTCTGGATCTTATTGGTTCTGATGAGGATACGAGCGGTGAAGATGCACCTCAATCATTATGCCAATTACCAGAAGCTGTTATGGATGATTTACTTAAAATAGCTGGTTGGTTGGAAGAAAGAGGCCAACATAAACATGCCAAAATTTATGCTTCTGTACGTTCTAGTATTGTCCTTCGATCTTTACAGTTACTTAAAGAACATCAAAGAAGTGCAAGTGGAGGAAGCACACACGCAGGCAGTCCAATGCCGGTAAATTCTTTAATATAAAATTCTAATCCAAAAAGCATTTGATAATATATAAATAATGCTTATTAATTATTTATATTATCAAATGCTTTTAGAGAGCCAAATTTCCTAATCGTCACTCAAGTGGTACTCAAGAAACAACAGGAAGATGGGCATCACGAAAATTACAACATGCACTTGAAAAAAAAGCAAGTAAAATGTTATTGAAAGCATCGCAAACTACTGGATTTGGCCTATCTTTGACTGCATCAAGAAAACCACAACCACAATTATCTGGATATTCAATAGAAGATGTAGCACCAGATGAACAGGAAATGGAAAATTATCTTTTATTAACTGCAGGACTTCATAAACTTATGCAAGCAGAGCGCTCGTTGGTTGGTAGAATTTTACCCCCTTCTTTACAACTTCAAGTACTTGAAGCTACAGTACGGAGTGCTATGGATCTTGTGGCTCATGATGGAGAAAGTATTGCAACAAGGGCTAAACGATGTTTCGCGAGACGTGATTTTTCTGCTGTTTTGGTAGTTTTCCCAATTTTAAAGCATCTTGAAGAGCTTAAACCAGACTTAGAGAGGACTGTAGAAGGATGCGATTATGCCCTTAGATCTAAATTTGCATATGTTCTCAATGCACTGTATGGAACTGTATGTTTAAATAACTATTCTTGAAAATATGCTTATTATACTCCTTAAAAACTTCTTGTTTATATTGATAATAAAAATATTTTTTAGGCAGCTACGGCTTTAGAAGATTTTGCAGAAAGTGTTAGAAATGAATCTAATGCAATTTTACCTAAAGATGGTACTGTAGCGGAAGGTACAAGCAATGTCTTAGTTTTTCTAGAACAATTAGCTGAATATGCGGATACTGCAGGAACAGTTTTTATACGTAATGCAGATGTGGAATCTGTTGGTCCATCCTCTACAAAACAAATAGAAACTGAACGTAAAATTGTACTTGGCATTTACATCAGTTAGTATTAACCTAATTTTAATTTAAACAATTATATAATTAAACATTATTAATTACTTAACATTATTACAGAAAAGGTCTTAGCACAATTAAACTTAGCATTAGTCAGTAAGAGCGATGCTTCGTATTCTGATCCTTCATTACGAGCACTCTTTCGTTTAAACAATCATAACTATGTTATCAATGCTTTACGTCGCAGCTCTCTAATGGAACTTTTGCTATTAGCAGAACCAACTATTGAACAAACTTATGTTGATTTACTTAGTAAAGATAAGACCAATTATGTCTTTACAACATTTGTTAAGGCTCGAAGTTTTCTTGAACATTCATCCGATGAACCAGGTTTATAATCTATTATATGAAATATATTGAGATAACTCCGATTTTGTAGATCTAATTAAATTACATTTTGCTTTTTGTACAGAACCCGGTTCTAAAGTACTCAAAGAAAAGTTTTTGGGTTTTACAAGGGAACTGGAAGAACTTGCTAAGTGTCAACGCTCTTATTCTGTACCTGATGGACGTTTACGAGAAGAAATACGTAAAGAACTTGAGCAAGCTATTGTTCCCCTGTATACTACTTTTTATAACAAATATCGTGGAGTCTCTTTTTCTAAAAATCCAGGAAAATACATCAAACATACACCGGAGCAAGTTAAATCTGTAATAAATACTTTCTTTGATACATCAGCATAAAATAGGATTACAAAGAATATAGTTTAACAAGAAAAATAGAAAGATGCTTAATAAACACCCATTTAATAAAGCATATTTAGTTACAGTATTTATGGTTTTTTTTTCTTTTTCCATGGACCGAATCTCAATTCCACCTGACATAGATTGCACAGGTTGGTGGATTTTTGACGACGTTCGAATATAGATCTTGATCCAGCCCTTTTATATATATTTATAATATATATATAAAAAAACAAGTAACGTTCGATTTAGATTCGATCAGTGACTTATACACATAAGTGATAATAATAGGAATACATTTGAACTTCAGCATTTATGTACAATTATTTGCTATAGATTTGTTTTTTTTTTTTCTTTTTCTATACTTACACATTCGTGCTCCCTTTTTATCACACATCTGACATACCTGTCGTACACTCAATCATACATACTGCTTCTTATTTTGCATACATTTATCCTCTGCTTCTTTTATTTAATTTGATGTACTTTTAATGTTCGACTGGTATGCAATACAGCCTACATTAAGACAATGTACTGTGCGTACTAATAACAGATTCTACAGTAAAACTGTAAAAAACAGCACAAGGAAGCAGAGAATGTAATAAATTGATTTTACATACATACTCATATCATATACACCAAAAACTTATACAATTGTCTGTTTTAAACTCTGGTATGTATAGAGAAATGTTGATCAGTTTAATTAAAAAGGTGCGCCATATTCCATGGTTTGCAATTGCATATGGTATTATCATGATTACATAGCAATTCAAGTTTTATATATAGAGAGAAATCTGACTTTTTATATATATATACAAAATCTCCATGAATGTATATAAGATATCGTTTTAAAAATATTTACTTACAGCTAATTATTTTTGAATCGAATAATATTTGAAATTTGGCTAAAACGTATAAAGTGAGAAACCAATGTAGCTAAATTTATGTAGCAGTAAAGTAATATATCTATGATCAATGAATTATGCTAACATATATTCTCTTATAAAGATAAAATTCTAAAGATTTCTTTTATTCTTTTATGTGTATATACAGCTGCAAACTATACATGGATCACTCTCCCGTTTGATTAAGCTGATTAGTATTCGATTTTTGGGCTCTTGTACAATTACATAGCAATATTTGTATATTTTACCCTTTATATATAATTATTAATCATAATATTAATAACACACTTTAGCATACTGTACAGAATCAGTTCTTCTTTCGGTATCTTTTATACTTTGTTTATCTAGAATACCAGCCTACTTATATTTCTCTTTGTTATGAGATTAAAGCTTGGACTGGAAATTTATATGATCAGCACAAAAAACTAGTGCTTTGATCTTTTCGATTTCAGTAACCAGAGATAACAGGATAAGTTTGCATTTCCAATGAATGTAAATTTTGTCCCAATGGTATTTTAATCTTTCAGTATAAGAATCACCAAATTGATATTTGTGCGTTTTCATGGCAGCTGTAGTCAGTCTATCAGAGCTGGACACAAACTACACTATGGGGTCGAAGATCGGTAACTTGTAGTGATTCAATTAAAATTGACAGGCTGGAGATGAAATGGTAGTATGCTCAATTGAACTCCAGACCATTAGGCAAAAGATAACAATTAATATTATAGAAGGAAACATCTGCGTTTTGGTTTAACCTGAAGAACAGGACATAAAACAGCACGAATTGCTTCATCAAAAACAGTCTTCAAACCTTTTTGCGTTAAAGCGGAACATTCTAAATATTTAACAGCACCTATTTCTTTTGCCATTGCCAAACCCTAAAAATAATAATATCAACGTAATAACAATGTTACATGCCAACTGTTAAAAACATTCAAATATTTTTAACTCATGCCAGAACAAAAGGAAATTGTACAAACCTGAGGATAAGTAATAGGTGCAAGTTTCTTATCTTTAAGACGCTCAATAGTTTCTTTGTCCTCACGTAGATCCAATTTAGTGCCTACTAAAATAATTGGAGTCGCAGGACAGTGATGACGTACTTCTGGATACCATTTAGCACGAACATTCTCAAAACTTGCAGGATTTACCAAAGAGAAGCAAATCAAGAATACATCTGTTTGTGGATAGGACAGCGGTCTTAATCTGTCATAATCTTCTTGACCAGCAGTATCCCATAGACCTAAGTTAATGGGCTTTCCATCCACCATCACGTTCGCAGAATAGTTGTCAAATACGGTTGGGATGTATTCACCCGGGAATGCATTGGTAGTATAGCTTATCAAGAGGCACGTTTTACCCACTGCTCTGTAGTTATAAATACAACGAATACATATTGATTATTACTTGTTACATTATCCAAATCAAATGTTTAGGAAATGATTACACAATTCTTATAACACATTATCAGAAATAACTAAATTTCTCTAATGTTTTCTCCATTAATTTCCTTTTTTTTCCTATCTTTCTTTTTATATACATATTTTCCCTTTTTAAAGAAATAATAACGTTTATATATAAACAAAAGAACTTGAAGAAATTGTAATTACATTAAACGTCGACGCTGTTTCGAGGGAAATGCTAAATAAGCGATTTGTCCTCGATACGTAATCTATAGGCGTGATACACATTTCGTTAGAAAAATATATATCATATTCGATAGGATAAGGAAAAAAATATCCGAGGGAAAATATTTCATCTATAAAAACGTAATCGTCGAGTTGACGGGCGTGGTAAACTGATGAACAACATCGAGAGGATGGGCTTTTAGAATTTCGAGGTGAACAAGCTGGAGAGAGAAAGAGAGGCTGAGGCCACTGAGGTAACAACTCATCGTCATCGTTTATGGGTTTGACCTGTTTGTTATTACCCTTTGTAATAACGACCTTAAGACCTATTTTTTTATTCTCTTTGAAATAATAAATACGTACCCGTCACCGACAACCACGCACTTGATAGCCTGCATCCTGGAGCCTGGAAACGTCCGTAATGTGCGCGAGAATACGTAAAGTCGCGCGACGATTATTCTTTACCCGGTACCTCCGTATACGTATACGTGTAGAACTGATGCAAGCGTTTGTGTGTGTTTTTATGTGTATGCGTGTATGCGGTGCGTACGTATATACGTACGGAAGGATAGAGATAGATAGATAGATATGTAGAAAGAGAGAGAGAGAAAGAATCTTGTTGAGAACAAGAGAGGAGGAGGATAAAAGAAAAGAGAGCAGGATAAGCTAGAGTTATAACATTAAGGAAAAATAAGTAAGTGTGAAATTAAACGTAAAACGATATTTAAAACGTCCGATGAACTAGGAGTAACGCAGCTAGTCAAAGTTTAAACGTGCTCAAAATATAGTCTAGTTTAGTAAGGTTCGAAACGTTGTAGAATATGGTGAAGCTTCTTCGAAGGAGGGGAGGCGATAGGAGGGGTATGGAGAGGGAAGTAGAAAGAGAAACACTCAACGCACACGAGGTTAAAAGAAGACTGAACAGAGAGAGAGAGAGAGAGAGAGAGTAGAATGATGAACTAAGCCACGAAGAAAAAAACTATGCAGGCTGACGAGGATCACAGCAGGAGATATTATGATCACAAATCTCTTTCTTTCTTTCTTACTTATTGAAATCAACATTAACTTTCTATTTTTATCTTCTTATTTTCTTTTGTTTTTTTTTTTTTAATTACTTCTTTATCTTTCTCTTTCCGTCTATCTCTTTATCTATATGCATTTCTCTTGTGAAAAAGAAACAACCGGATATTCGTCAATGAGTAATCGCATGTTTTTTTTATAATCGTCATGGCGGAAATTACTAAGAAACGATGACATTCGTGGATGCTCTTTCGATAGAAAACGTTGCTGATTCATCCATTAGATACTATAATTCAATTTGAATTAATTTCTATCCTTGCGTGTTTACGTTCAAACATCATACTCCGAGACTGTTAAAGATTACGTATCGAATTATTAGATGATCTAATTGAATTTAAACGACATTTTTTTTCGAGATAATAATTATCTACAATGTTTAGATTAATTATTGTTGAGTATCATTTGTTATTTTAGTTTCCCGCGCTTTTTAAGTAGCATTCTACAGTACTACCTTGCGGAAGTTTGTGGCGGGAAATTTAAATTGTATTTCATGTAACGACTCGAATTTTAAACTTATTTTTTAATTGTTTTAATATTATTACGTTTCTTATGATATATACGTTTAATATATATACATACATATATACATTTAATAATTACAAAGATATTGAAATATACATATGTATGTATATAATAGTAACTCGCGAATTAATCATATTTGTTTATTTTGAATTGTACAAAGAATTAATTCATGCAAACAAAAAATCGTAGGATTTCCTTAAAAAAAAAAAGAAAAAAATTACAAGGAATTTTGAATCTCGTAAAAAATTAACATTTAAAAATAAATATTAATTCCATCATAAGATGTGCCTTTTACAATAGCGTAACTTTATTCTGTACATTTTTTTTTATGAAACTAAAAATAACACCGATATTTGGACCATCCGGTATATGCAGAGTGGCGCAGTAATCGTAGTACAACCGGGCAGGGGGTGATTTTACGTGAAAATGTAAGACAGAAGTTAGATATAGCATTTATTCGTCTGAAATTTTTGGAGAAAGTCATTTTTAAAGTTAGAACAATTGAATATGATTTAATTGTTGTAATTCTGAACGGCTGTCTTTATACGAGTAAGTATTGATAAATATTGGTGACAACATTTTTGATGTAAGTGGGACAAAAATCATAGTGTATTAGAAAGAATAACAATTCGTTTTCATTCATTTCAAATTACCGTGAAGTTATGGTAAGATATTTTAATCTAGAGTACATTGATATGTGTTACTTTCTTCGGGAGAAAAACAATTATTGGGAAATACATTTTTCAGAAATATTTGTAAAGTAATAATTCAATGTACAAATAGACAATAAAATACACGATCTAACGATATTACTGTCAATATTTTTTCAACGCTAAATCTCATAAACATAATTGGCTAGAATAATGATAATTCAAACCATATTCAATTGGTCAAACTTCAAAATTAATGTTCTCGAAAGCGAAGCGCTTCACCTGAACAAATAATATATTTAATTTTTGTTTTATTTGTTTTATCTCGTAGAATTAACTCCTGCCCGATTATGCTACCGATTATTATCTCACCTTGTATATATGATATTTCTTGTGAAAATAAGGATATTAAAATATATCGTTCGCATATACCAGAAAAATTTATCGCGCATCTTTATTATTTTCTAATTATCGTTACAATATTATTATGTGCATGCTTTCTCATTCATTCATTTTGCGTATATTTTTGTATGTAACGCACATCATATCGATTCGTATAAATATTAAATATGATCGAAACGATTACAATCTTGGAATATTTATAAACGGATAAACAAATAATAACAATAACGATAATAACAATCGAAAATAATTAAAAGGAAAACTATTTTTAACGATAGAAACAATAAAACTAACGATCATATATTAATTATTGTGTATTCGAACAAATATATACATATCATATATATATATTTATTTATTTATTTTTATAAATAATGGACAATACCGCAAATCAAATACTAGGAACTTTTTATCGAAATTTGTTAATGCCGTTTATGCACTTTATAATTAAATCGTAGCTACAATCACACGCAGGTACTCTTAATATTTTTGACGATAAATAAGCAATATGTCAATTCTTTCTTGTGAATTATTCATTCGAATATAAATGAATAAATAAGCAGTTATTATTATATAAAGTGATCACAATATTAATATAAACGATTTCTTAAAATATATAAAATATTAATAATATTCAAACGTAATTTTAGGTACATCATCATAAACGTTCGAACATCGCTTTACAATTAGAGACAAAGGAACTTCATTAATATTTTTCATTATACAAAAATAAAAAAGAAAAAAAAGGAAATTCATTGCTTCAATTGCATTGAAAGAAGAAATTTGATATAATTGCGCGCGTCTTAAAATAATTATTTATCTATTAACAATAATAATAACAACAGAGAGCGATGCTATATTGATTTTGTGTTCAGAACAAACAAGTTTGAAAAGAAACCATAAAATGATTGTTAAAATTTTTCAAATACACAATTTTTTGTTTAAAAAGATACACATTGCACGAATAGAATTTTGTTGTTTCTTCGTATTTTCTTTTCTTTGTACTTAAAAATATCTTCATCTCTCGTGTATGTCTTTTAAAAAAGGCGCCAACACCCTTCTGTTGTGTCAACACCCTTTTGTTCTTTTCATATTTCTCTTCTTCGCAATTTATCAAACTTAAAATTAACTTCCTTTAAATAGAAGTTAATTATCTTTCTCATTTTACTGTAACATTTTGTTCGTTTTTTCTTTTTATTTCATTTATTTTTTCTTTTCTTTTATTATCTTTTCAATAAAACTAAAACGACGATTTTCTTTCCACAATCATCGTCGCCTACAAAACGATAACGTTTGATATTACATTTGATTTTATTATTATTATTATTATTATTATTATTATCTTTTTTTTTCTATCATATAGAAATAAATATTATAGATACCTATCGATTTATTAAATTTTGTTGAATGATGAAATTTCTAAAATACATTTACAGGAACTTATTTCATTAAAACTTGGAAGATTTATCAGCGCAAATGCTGTTATCGTTTTTTTTTTAATCTTCTCTCTTTACATCAGTCACTTTTGAAAAATTTTCCCTCAAAAATTGTTTGAAATGATGTGTTTCTTTTTTTTTTTGCCTAGTTTTTCTTTTCGTACTGTTTAACGATCTATAGTATGTACTTATGCACGTTTAGAGAAAGACATGAAATAATTAAAGATACGTATTTATAAGAAAAATATAACATATATAAACATGCATTAACGGCAGTCAAATGAAAAATATTTCCATTCGTTTTTTCTTCTTTCATTTTTACGCGCAAAAGATTTCCCTTACTATATTATCTAATAATTAAATTAATTAAATATACTTTCCATGAAGTATACTTATTATTTATAAAAGAATATATATATATATATATAAATGTAAATTTTTAACCCATAAAAGATCTATATGTGTTTGCATAGAAATTATTTTTATGGTTTTAATTAAACATGTTAAATAAAATAGTAAATAACACTTTATCAACCTCTTCGAAAGAAATTTTTCAGTTTTCTAATAATGACGAGATCAAGTAAAACAATGATACAAATTGTGATTAATACTACTTATTAAATATACATATATATCTATATTTTTTTGTAATATAATTATAATTATTATTATTATTATTAAATAAATGAAAAAGCTATATGTGCGATATGCGATCCCCGAACATAATATGATTGTATTCGAACATAACATGATTACTTGAATGCAATATGATAGCTGGAACGTTATGATCACTCAAATGTAAAATGCTTACAAGAATATAAAATTTAATTATAGATTAAGTATTATAAATATCTAATAATAAATAAAGTCTATAATCTAATCTATAAAATTTATTTATAGATTATATATTATAGGAAAATTATTCTGCGAGTTACCACAGAGAAGAGGTTAATAAATTGCATAAAAATATTTATGGAAATTTTCAATACACTGTGTCTATTCTTTCAAATTTTTTTACTTTACTTTTACCATTTTCACCATTAGTATTTCTTTTCATTTTTAATCAACAATATACATAAATATTGTTTTTCGGTCTTACATACACTCATCCCTTGGTTTACATCCTCGGTATTTTATTTCAATAAGTTTAACACGATCAGAAAAAAATATTTATCTTGAAATAATTTTTCTTTTATATTCATTGTATACGATAGTATTAATTACATCATTTTAATTTTTTTTTCTTTGACTTGTGACCACAAATGAGTTAAGAAATTGTATATTCGTCAAGATGTTTGTTCGAATATACAGGATGAAGAATCAGTTAACAAAAATGAAACAAAAAATCTTTTCTGATCGCGTTTAAATGAAATTAAAAGTTATATGTAAACCCAGAAGGATTTAGGAATGAATGTATTTCTAATAAAATTATTGAAAACTATAAACTATTAGTCAAAAC